TTTGAACATTCTGATTAAACTAGAACCTGAATCAAAATGAGTTCTTTGCTCAGTCCTTCTGTGTGGGAATTGGTATTTCTATTTATTACCTGGTGATGAAATATTAACTTCTTTTCTCTAAATAAATGCCTCCTCTTAATGGCTCTTGTTTTCTGGGATCAGATTAAATTATGGGATGCAATTGAAATGGTCATTGGCTTTCTGCTATTTGAGATGATAGCATGTCCTCTATTATATTATATCATTCAGTGGGTGTGCAGGGGACATTAATAGTGTCCAAAGTGAAGTACATACTCTATGCCCCAGAGACTTTTCTATATGTTAATATCAACCATCCTGGGACAAATTTGAAAAAGAAGAGATTCGGGGTGGGGCCAGGGGTTCATGTTTTCTCAAAACACACAGGTGTTCTGCAAGCTACAGGGAGGTGGTCACCCCCCCATTTCAATGGTGAGTTACCAAGTGGAGGATGCAGAGAGATAGGAGGCAAATGATGAGAGTAGCAGAGAGAGCAGAAAAACAGGAAAAATAACTGGGCAGGAATGTTCAAGCACAGTCAAAGCTGGGGTGAAATATACAATGCAATCACAAGGCTAGCTTGGAAAGAAAGCTAGCTCAGGGCAAGGCTAAAAAGAAGGCAATTCTGTCTCAGTGAAGGGAGGAACTCTCTGGAGAAAAAAAACAGACTGGAAGGGAAGGAGGAGAAAAAAATGGCTTTCAATTATCCACGTTATCTTTCCCTACCAATCATTACTGATGATGAATTGGTGCAATAAAAGCCAATATTCAATTTTTCCAATTTACATGGAAAGAAGTCCATAATATATTGTTAAAGGGAAGAAACAGCAGGTTATCCAACAGTGTATATAATATGATCTCATTTTTGCAGTACGCTTGTATGTGTAGCAACAGTCTGGATGGATTTATATGGAAATGTTAACAGTAGGACTACAAGTGATTTTTATTATTTCTCCCATCTGTATTTTCCCCAATTAACATGTATCATGACTGTAATAAGAAAAAGTCATTATTTTTAAACTTCCTTATGAATCATTTAGCTTCAAGCAATATAGTCTGACTACCTTCTATGGGGAGGGCATGAGAAACAGTATTTTCGGAGAAGTCAGCACACACTCACAGTGGATTTTGTTGATAAACTGTCTACTTGTCCTGTCTGTTTTACAGAATTTTTATGCTCTTAAGAGGGGAAAGGGCCATTAGAGTTTATCTAATGATTACATTTTAAAAGTTGTGGTGAAATTCACATAGCATAAAATGTACCATCTTAACCATTTTTAAGTGACTTTGGAACAGCCACACTGTTTTGCAACTACCACTACACCAAGCATCTCCAGAACTCTTTCCATCTTGCAAAACTGAAACTCCATACCCATGAAACAATGAGTCTCCATTCTGCCATCCCCACCCTCCATACCCCTTGCCTTCTGCCCCCTCCCTGCCGCCAGGCAACCACCATTTTCCTTTTCCTCTCTATGAATCTCCAGGGACCTCATGGAGTAGACTCACACAGTAGGTGTACTTTTGTGACTGGCCCGTTTGACTTAGCATCAGATCTTCAAGGTTCACCCACGTAGCGTACTGCAGAATTTCCCTCATTTTTAAGGCCAAATAATATGTGCTATATATTTCAGTAACATGTGTAGGCCACATTTGGTTTATGCCATTTGCCTGTTAATGGAGACCTGGGCTGCTTCCACCTTCTGGTTGTTGTGAATAGTGCTGCTAAGAATACGGATGCACCAATACCTCTTCAAGACCTTGCTTTCAATTCTCCTGGGTGTAACCAAGGATTAGATTTTAATGCAGTCTCTGACTTTTTTTTTTTTAAGATTATTTATTTATTTATTTGACAGATAGAGATCACAAGCAGGCAGAGAGGCAGGCATAGAGAGACAGAGGAGGAAGCAGGCTCCCCGCTGAGCAGAGAGTTTGATGCGGGGCTCAATCCCAGGACTCTAGGATCATGACCGGAGCCAAAGGCAGAGGCTTTAATCCACTGAGCCACCCAGGCGCCCCTGCATTCTCCGATTTAAAAGCAGGGAGTAGCCCAGTAGTACTGCTGAGAGCTGAGCATCATCAGTCAGGGTTTGAATACCTGCAGGGAAAGGTGTTCACCAGCTCATGGGGCTGTGCAGCACAGTGGTTAGAGAACGCATGCCTCGGAGTCAGGCGAACTGGGTACAAATTCTTGCTCCATGTCTCACTGCTTATGGTCATGGGAAAATGAACAATCTCTTTAGGTCTCAGTTTCTACATCTACAAAGTGGAGATAATTAGATCTACACTATTGGGTGCCTGAAAAGATTAGTTGGGTAATGCACTTTAGGTACTCGGTACACAGAATTGTGCTCAATGAATAGAAGCTATATATCATTAAAGAATACTTTGTAGAAAGTAAGGTCTTGTGATATTAAAAAGTCTATGCAGTGGTTCAAATGCTATCTGCTAGAAAAAATAGAGACCATGTCTAATCTGTCTCCCAGAGGTTGATATTTAGGCATTTGAACAGATTTCCACTGGGAACTGGCCTTTTGGAGAAAGGGACACCATTTTACTTTGCATTTGTTTATGGATTTATGTGCAGGTTACTTCTTCTGCATTTGTAAAGCTCAAGTATCTGCTTGGGTGACTCTTCAATTTTTATTTCTCTAAAGGTAGAAAGCAAATGTTGTCCTCCCAATTAATACAAATTTCATGCTTTAGTAACAAAAGTATCAATATAGAATAAATGCAAGCTTGCTTAGAAAATTACTAATCTGCAGGCCTTGCTTAAATTAAGTCTTAGACAATTCCTGTGGGGGGGGGAAACCTTTTCTGAACTAAGGTCTTCTTAAAAAGGAGATTATTTTTTAAGTATATGACCATTTTTATCTATATCTATATATGTCTAACACTCTAAATGGTTCCAGAAAGTAGTTCCTTTTTAGAAAAAAAAAGAGTTAATATATACACCTTAAAACTAAGATATTTTGAGCACATAATTTTTATCTCAGGATATATATGGTGGTTTTTTTTTAAATGACAATTCCATTAGCACAGTTTCTCCCAAGACAATTGTGGATGGCTTTGTTCAAGACAAACGTGGCAGGTGTCACTGTGATAAGAAACATTTAAGCTGTTGTCCCTATGATGCCAAATATTTAACGGAAACCAAAAAAATTCAGTTCCAGATGACAAAATTGGGTCTAAATGACATCATTCATCCAGATGCGTGGAAAATCTGGATTTTCAAGAATTGAATTTTTGTGGTCAACATCATGAAGACTCAGTTTCTGCGTTAAATAAGGCATTTGTGAAACAAAGCCATTTTGGAATAGAACACGTTTTCATTATAGAGAAACAAATTGAAAGGAACACAGGGTACCATTTCAGTGCTGTGAATCACAGATTACATAAAAAAAAATACGATGTAAAAGACAAACAGGACATTTCCAAGCTGCATTTTTGAGGTTCTTCACGAAGTAACCCGACCACACTGGGGCTTTGAGAAAAGCAATCATTCAACATAGAGACACTGTCCCCAGTTCTCCCTTCCCACTGAACTTGAACACATGCGCCGAAAGTACAAAATGAAATGACTGTGTCTTTGAGGTAATTATTCAACTTCAAACTCACCAGTTAAGCATTTGGAGGTATGGGAACATAAGTGATACGCTGGAACAATTTTACAGGAGGTCCTGAATAGATGTTCATCCCAGAAGCCACGGACACGCCAGTTTCAGGAGAAACAGCAGAAGTGGGAAACTCAAGAGTTAACCTTCTGCCCTCCCTTCTTTCTCCCCTTCTCCTCCCAGCTGCCTCCTCCCAGGCTGTACTTTCTGTGACCCTGCTTCCCCGTAAGGAAGGTTTCAGAAGCAGCGCAGTTTCACCTGCGCTGTTGACACAGCAATAAACTAAAATCCTTTACTGAGAGAGCGCCAATGGACCCAGGAAGGCAAATCTATCCCGTTGATAAGCATCTGGTCCTACTCTTATAAACAAAGACAAGTAGTTACCAATTCGGCATCTGGAGAATACACACCCAGGCATATGCACAAAATATCTCAGAGAATTTATTTTCAAACCACATGCTAAGAACCTCACAAAGAAAATACTCTCTTTATGTTGATTATGATGGTATATGCTTACTGTCTAATCAGGAAATCAGTGAGTCGTTCCTCTCAAAACTTGAATCTAATTCCATTTTGCAAACTTCTAAACATCACCACACCCAGTACCTTTGAACTCCAAAAGTCTCTCACTGTGTCCAACAGCAGCCATTTCAAAACCTTGAAAAGAGATTTCTTCTCTTTGACCGATACTAGCACAAAACACAACTGTCTACCGAGAAACAAGCTCTAGAGGAGCAGGAGAATCAACTTTTCTCAATCGTCTACCTCAACGTATGACATTATATTCATATACATCCCCTCCCGCCCACTGCACCTTGCTCCCTCATGGCCAGCGTACAAAGTGACAGATACCACCTACTTCTGTGCAAACACCAGCAGCTTAATAGGACTCACGAACCCTTTCTTTCCCTTTCTTTCAGGTTCCTGGGGACCCGAAAACAAAAACAGAAGAGGGGCTGGTTCCTCATTCCCAGGATGCACTCTGATTTCATGGGCAGCCCGAGCTGACTTTTCCAGGCAGGGGTGGACTTCTGTCCGGTTGCAAGTGGAGAGACATGAATTCCCAGATGAGGAAACACACTATCTAGCCCTGGGAAACCTTTCTTGCCATAGCAAAAGCAGTTCTGGCACAGAAGCCTTCCTCCTCTACCCCCTCAATAGGAGACACAAAAATCGCAGACAGCGTTTTTCCACGATTTCTGAGGACACAGGGAAATGTGGCTGAAGGGCCGGGAAGGTTGGGGTTGGGAGGAAAAGGGACTGAACAGGGGCTGGGAAATGCAGCCTGTTGTGCCGAAAGACAAGTTACAATGCACCTGGCGAATAAAACAAGCTGCACCACATACAGAAAAGATGAGAGCGGCCCACCTGTGTCTGTTGAGGGATATTTACAAAGCTTGGATCCCGTGGTCCAACACTGACGAATCGGTTTGCGGGGGAGGTGCTGGGTGTCGAGTAGGCTGTGAAGGGAAGGGACACATGCGTTCAGGAAGCAGCACGAGATTGCACACACAAACAACACCAAAACACACAGTCTCCGAGCCTACGCAGCTGATTAACAAGGAAATGTGCAAACACTGGAGCTAGCAAAGGGATCCGGCTAGCAAGGGCATTTTAGACAGTTATAAAAGGGAAGGGGTGTTGGGTTCTAAAGACTGTCGGAATAAAACGATGTCAAATTGGGTCTCAGATGGGTTCTTTTCTCCTTCCAGCATACAAATTAGAACATGCAGGACATTTGCAAAGTATACTTTTGGAGTAAAACATGAGCTCTGGGGCCAGAAAGAGATATCCTAGTCCTTAGAGCACAAGGGAGAGAGAAATGAGGTAGGAAGGGGAGGAGAGCAGTTCATTTTATAACCTTGCTTTTCACACTATGGCACTTCCAAAAATCCTGAGATATTCCTGCACCTCTATAGCTAAATATCAAAGAGGAGTCTTTAGAGAAGGAATTAATGGCTTCTCCAGAAAGGAGGTGGAAAACCATTGAGAACCAGCTGTCTTTATAGGCTTCGGGAAAGTATCTAGAATCTCTATGAAGCACCAGATGTGCTTAAAATATTAACACCTGTAGTCTTCCAATCCTAGAACATTTCTGTTAAGGCACAAACTATCAAGAACCCATGAAAACCAAGATACCACACTAAAATCACAGTACAGTTTACCAGCCTTTCACAGTTCATGAAAGTTTGGTCGTTGGTTTTTATAGTTTCGGTTTTTATATTTAAATTTGAGAGTTTCACTCCAGTGAGAAAAAACCTCGGTGGCTTTGCTGTTTCATCGGCTTATACACCCAAATGTGTATTTGGTCGTTTGGTGACCTGCAATTCACCTCTTTACCACAAATTCCCAATATTTATTCATATTCCTTCTTTGTACCAGAACTTTCAGATAGACTCTTGCTTAATTTCAAATTAAACAACACTTGCAAAAGGCCCAATTTTTTTGGATTAACCTTAGACACAAGCCATCTAAAAGATGAAAAGGATTTGCAGTTTTTAAAAACACAGATAACTAAGGGAATAATACCAAATTCCTTTGCCAGATTTCTTTGTTTTCCTTTTTGGCATCATCTGCTTGTCTTCGATTTTCTGTCTTACAGAAAACTGCTCAGACTTCTTGTTTCCTTTGTTGAGCACATCTAGAGATAAAATGTCTACCAATCTAGGCCAAGTCCTGTTGGTCAACTTTGATAAGAGTTAAGTCATCCACACAGATCCGTGATGGTCCTGTGGTGTGGCTGTGTTAAACCAGCATGAAACAGAGGATGAACGTGAGGATCCTCTGACATCTATTAATAAGAAAGTTTTGTTGTAGTGTTTGTTTTAGAAGGATCTGTCTGGGAATAGTTTTATATAAAACAATGTATATATAGATGTCTATATAAAAATGCATGATGTAAGGTATGGTCTAGGTACGTGAATCTACTGATTTCCTCCCCACCCCATTCTATGTTAGACTAAGTTGAACAGATTTGAGAAATATCTCTGCACAAACACATTCTGTACATGCTTCTCACTCACTGGTATGGGAGAAACATAAATTTTTAAAAATTCAGTAAAATACTCTTTGTTAATTGCTCTAGTCAGCCTATTGCTTTAGTTTAATATGGTTTAAGAAGTCTCCATAGAAAGTTAGGTATTGAAAATGATGGACTATAATTACCCGGTAGTGAATTTACCCGCTCCCAGGGCACAAAGAGGATGTGGGAGAGATAAGGAGGAAGCTAGTAGATGAAATAACCTGTCAAACCTCTCAGTGGTTAGGTGGGAAGAGTGTTCTTTCACATGGGAATAGGTAGGTATGTCGGAAGGAACAGAAAAAGGCATGGAGAGTATGCTAAGGTACTAAGTGACGAATGACAGATGCTGAAATGTGGGTCCTGGTGGAACTGTGCGCTTCGGGCTACGCTAGTCATCACAGACACATAGCAGGATTTCCTATGATGTTTTTACCATACTGGGGATATCAGAAACATGCATGCTGAGTGAGCCTAGGGATCATTGCATTTTTTTTGTTTGTTTGTTTTCCTTCTGTGTGAAGACAGTTCTCCATCGACCACAGCAAGTTTACTAAGCCTGAGAAGATCTATAATATGTTCTGTTCTCTATTGTTTAGCAGACCAAAATTTTGCCATTTGAAAGGTGTAGCGTACAAATCATGTAGTCACCCAAAACTGCTATGAGGCTAACATCTGGATATTTTGCCTTTCTTGGGCACGAGACAAACTTTGCCTTCTTGATTTCAAAATGTCCCAGGAGGCCTTTCATGCTTTCATAGGCTCCTGAAACTGCTTCAAAGTTTAGTCTGATTTTTAAAACAAGGGAAACAGTATGTTAGCATTTAAAAAAGAGAGAAAGAGAAAGATAAAAGAAAAAAGGGATATTAAAACTATAAAAACCTGGGAGTCTCTTGAATACCCAAGTCATCAAATGGAAGAAATGGTACCTGGGGAAATTTATTCGATAGAAATGTAGCTTCTGGGAAAATTCAAGGACACAGGGAAAACAAGGGAAGGAAGAAAGAAAGAATGACTCATCTTCCATTATGGTAGTTACAATAGGCACAGTGTTCACCTATAACAGGATGTAGTTCCAGAAATGATATGACATTAGTTAAATTTGATTTTCCCAAAGAAAAAGTGGAATAAGGGAGTTATACTGTTGAACAAAAACCTCAACTGCAACTTTTTATTAAAACAACCACATATACCATAGCGAATCAATTATACATGCACAGTTAAGAGCTTTCAACATGAATATAAAATCAAGTAAAGGGGGCAATGTGGTAATTAATTATATACAACTGTATTTACTATGCTATTATATCACATTCATATCTTTCTTAATTATAATTTCGGCGTTATTTACAGCAGCAATAATCAAATGCCACAGGAAAAGCTTCAGGAAATCATGAAATCCAGAAAATAATTCTCTGGGAAGATTATTATAGGCATTTTTTTGAGCATTCTGGAGGGGAAGATTCAGGGGCATATGATGATTTTTCTGATAAAGGCAACAAGGAAATCATTTTGCTTATATAATCTCACTGTAAAAGTCCTCATGGCAAACACGACTATTAGAAATCAAATTATTGATTATTTGACTGCCTCTGAAGTGGAAACTTTTTCTTTCTTTTCTTTTCTTTTTTTACCAGGCATCTTACCTACATGAGCAATACCACTCTTGACTATTTTCCTAATGTATGGATGAACTATTAGAACTATTAGAAGCTTCCACCATTTTATTTGTACTAATCTGATATTTTTTCCTCTTTCTACTTGTATGTCTTCCCATTATCCCATAGTCTTAGTCTGGCCTTAGCTACAGTGATAACTATGAAAATCCCAGATCAGAATTTGATCCCATATCCAGAAAATCCCATTCTTCTGTGTTACCCACTTACCATATGCATGGCTAATCATAAAATCCTTTATTTAGACTGTGTAAGTCCTGCCCCAGTATGATCAGTTGGGAGATGGCTCAAGAACAGTTCTTGCTTTATAAGCAAGACTTTTAAAGGGACTCTGACGATGCTAGAATCTATCTCTAGCAGGGACTCTCGGAGGAGCATGAGGGAGTTGTCAGGGACAGTGGCAGAGATCACCCATTAAGTCTGCTCTTTACCACTATGCAGGTAGGGTCCCCTGGGAGAACCTAGATTTTTTTTTTTGTTGTTGTTGTTTCCAGAAATACATGTAACTAACCTCCTACAAGCCAAACAGAATTTCGACTTTTGTTGTCCCCAAGGTGTCATGTTTTGTTTCTTTTTCTTGAAAGGAAGGAATAAGGGATGTGTCTGGATGAAGGAATCATGGTATTTTCCTATAAATCCATTTTGAGTCTGTAATAGCCCTCACCTATAAAATCAAATCTGACCATGGTATTAACAAGGTGGTCACACTGTTTTGAGCAGAATGCTTGGAGCGTTCCTTGTTTTAGGAAAAAGATGTAACTGAAAAAAAAGATATTAAGATATTAAAATATGTGTACCATTGTCAGTTGATGTTTCTTTAAGCTGAAAACCGTATCATTAAAATCATCCACATCTGACTAACTAGAAAATTAAAAGTAGGCAGACAGATTCAAGATCTAGTTCAACTGTAGTAACCACTAAAATATATGTAATCACCAAAGGGGAAGAAAGGGAGAACATTCAGACAGATGTTTTTGTGGGGAGTGAGTATGAAGGGAGAGCTGCCTTTTGGATGACGCTCCTCTGGGACTCGCAGTGCCCTCAGGGAGGCTGAGGGGCTGGTTCCCAAGTGCAGCTCAACTGCCTGAGGAGAGCGATGACCATCCTCTACCCTGGCTAGGGGTCAGTGACACAGTGAGGCACCTTGGCAGAAAAGAAAATGTGAGAGACCTGATGACCTTTGAGGTTCTGCATTTACTTCCACACACAGGAAGCCATGAAGTCCCCTGAACCCGGGCAGCCTGACCTACACGCTGACAGGAAGTTTGAAGGGAGATCTGTGCTCTGTTTCCTCAGACTCCAGATGCATGAAGAGTGAACATCCCTTTCTTCATTCCCTTGAACTCTATCGACTCTAGAGTGCATCAAAGAGAGGTATTTCCATGTATTTAATAGATTCATATTCATTCTCTCACTCCTTCTGTCTCTGTCTCTCAGGAAGGCTTGCTCTGTGCTAGGCTCTGGGTTGAGCACGACGGGAGATTCAAAGGTGAGGCAAGACACATTGCCATCCTAGAAATGCTAGCATCTAATGATGGGAGATGGGCGTAGATAAATGAAAATATGGGTGCTTAAAGGTGACATAAATAAGAATCCATGAGATGTTAACGGACAGAAAAGGGACATCTGGCAGGAGAGCAGGAAAAGCTGCACAGAGGAAATGAGGACAGGGTGGCTTTTGCGACAGTGCTGTAAAAGATGCGCGGGCCGGCAGGTTCGGAGGGAACCGGGGTCACAAAGGAAGCAGCAGGAGCAAAGGCGCAGA